TATATATATATATATATGTTTTTGCTGCAGCAACTGTTCAATGTGCTTCGAAGTTAACAATATGCAGAGAACTTCAGCTCAGTCTATCATAGGTAGTGATTGTAAAAACAAAAATATTAAATTAATACTCCAAAATCTGGACTTAACTACATTCTGGACCAGCCAAAATCAGCACAATATTACCCAATGCTTACTTTAAGCTACTGTTTTAGTGATATTGCCGGAAATTGGCTCATTGCCAGACAGATAGAAACATTGGGTTGAAAGTGACGGCAGTTCCACTAACAATTGAGAGCTGTTATTGATAGTTTTCGGTCTTAAAGGTGTAGCTGTAATTCTTTCTCAACTACTCTTAACTTAATTTGCTGTTACGTTTCTGTACACAGTGTCTGTAGACGATTTAGTGCATCTGTTTGCGGATCACTTGTTAGTTTTTTAATTGGTTCAGTCTCTGGTTTGGCCTCATTTTACGTTACATTTTCTGTCTAGTTACGGTATTGATTATAGCCAGGCGGTTTGTGCTGATAAGGTTGCCTTCTGGAAATGATTAGGAGTATGAGTTGATCTTTGTTTGCCTTTGATAAGTTCCATTGCACAAAATCATGGTTGCGATATAGATGACTGGCGTAATGTCGTGATTCTGTGAGCTCGGCTGTAAAAATTCCTTATTTTGATTCCGTTACCATTTCGGAATATTAGCTTACGATTGTGTTGAGCAAAGTCACAGATCAACTTTCTGCATTTTTCTTCTAGTATTGCTTAAAACTTTTTGAGTCGATTTCTTCATCTTGTTCGTGGATGTTGGAATGGAAAAGAGAAGCCACACTGTAGTCAGGAAAAGAAGGTCTAAAATTTTAAGGGCATATATGAAGCATTTTGAGAATACCTGTAAGCCCGATTGTATTGCAAAGGTTGTTATCGGGGTTCTAAAGTTCAGAAATATTGAAATGCCGAAGAATTGTTTTGGCACAAAGATTTTGTGTTTGTCAAGCTTTATACCGTGTTGTATGACCTCTAAATACGCTGGTCGATGCCGTTTTTAGCGGTAGAATATCTTTTAATCTTTGTTGAACATGCAATTAGGGACTTATCCGATTGTTTGGAAACGTTCACGTATGTTTCCTCAATAGCTTGTTCATTCAGGTGACGCTCATCATTCTTGGGAAACAGCAGTATGGCTTCTTACAACTTTAAAAAAATTACAGTTGTACCGACGGCATCGGTAGGTTGTAGAAATCAGATTGTTTGAAACAAACTAAATATTCTCTCAAAGATTTAATTAACGTTGCCGCACTTATTGTTCTAGGACTTGAAAGACATAGTGTTGTCGAAAACTCAGAGGAAAACTCCAACTGTTGTACATCGACATTTTGCAATTGGGCGGATTAGGTCGTTTTATGCTCGGAAAATAAAGTTTTTACAACAGACTCTTCATGACAAACTGTCTCAAATTATTGATGAGTTTCCAAAAATGGAGGTAAGTAACGAGTCATCATCATTGCTGCATTTTTTTTCTACCTTTATTGTTGGGAGTTCTTTGATCATTTTCGCTTAGGTTCTTATTTGTATAGTTGCTCGAGTTTATCCTATATAAGAAGTTTTGGTATAATTTTTTTTAGGACATACATCCGTTTTACGCAGACCTTATGAATATTTTATATGATAAAGATCACTACAAGATTGCTTTAGGGCAAATGAACATGATACGGCATTTGATTGATGGGTATGTTGCGGAAGCGCCTTTTGAAATAGTGCTTGGAAGTTATGTCTGTATCTTTCCAAACTAGTACTAACTTTTGTCGTTTTGACTTGAAATTGCTTTTTCGGAAACCTTAGTTTATAACTTTTAAATGGAGCCTACTTTTTGCGTATTTATCCGAGTTGCTTCGTGTAGACGTTACAATAACCTTTCTTATTTGAAGCGTTGCGCGGGAATATGTAAGACTTATGAAATATGGTGACTCTTTGTATCGATGTAAGATGCTCAAGAGGGCTGCTCTAGGACGAATGGTAAAACTTCTTAAACGGCAAAAATCCAGTTTTGAATATCTTGAACAAGTCCGACAACATTTGTCTCGTTTGCCAAGTATAGATCCTAACACAAGGTAAT